AAGACCCGGCCTACTCTGCCATGCCCTGGCACACGCTGTTCTCTCTGTCCCCATCACCAGGTGTCCCTTGGCCCCTCATCCCGGAGCTCAGCAGACAGACAGGCGCCTCGGGGAGCAGCGCGCAGGCCACACCACCTGCGCCAGCATCCTCCCTGATGGCGCCCCCGCGGGCGGCTGTGGGCTTCCCATCCTCGCAGTCCCGGGATGTGCTGGCGAGAACTGCAAGTAACTCGATCGCTCACAAGAAGCCCCGTGGGCCCTTGTTAAAAGACAAAACCCGGGGCCCCAGACCTCTGTAACTGGAACCCGCAGACGCGGTTCTGAAATCAGCTCGGCCGGGGCAGCAGCGTCGCGGCCAAGGTGTCCCGGCTGCGGAGGAGCCACGAGGTAGCGGCTCCACCCGCGGGACGCCTCCGGCCCCAGCGCGCCGGCGACGGAGCCGAGGGAGCCGCAGAGCACGAGGCGCAGCGCGCGCCTCGGTTCCCGGGCCCGGCGGCGACACCAGCCTCGCCACCACCTCTCAAGTGGGGGCCGCACCCCCACGACAGGAGGGGCCCTGGCGAGCGGCCACAGCCGGCCCCGCGGCCCTCCCGCCGGGCCTCCCCGCCCGGGCCTCCCCCGCCCGGCAGCCAGAAGGGCCGCGACCGCCGCGAAGTTCTCCCTGCCGGCCGGACCCCTCGGCGAGGCGCGCGGCGCACGCGGCTCCCCCAGACGGGGCGCGGAGCCCGCCCGCCCCTCGCCTCAGACACACGAGCGTGTCGACGCGCGGCCGGGAGGCGGCGGAGGGGGGCACCTCGGCGGGGGGCGCGGCCCCCGGGCTACCGCGGCCCCGAGGCGTGAGGGGCACCTCGCGGCCCCCGAACTTCCGGAGCGCTCGGGCTCGTCAGCAGGGAGACAGCAGCGAGCGCCCCTTCCCACGGCCGCCGAGGCTCGGCGTGGACCGCGGGCCCGGCCCGAACGCGGGGCCTCGCAGGAAGTGCCGGCCGCCCGCGTGCGCACGACCCGCGCACCTTCCGGACCCCCAGCCGGGCCGAGGCTCCCAGGGCCCGGGCCCGGCCGCTCGCGGCGCCAAAAAGAGTCCGGCGCACCGCGCAAGCGCCGTGAGCGCGAGCCGCAGGGGGGCGCTCTGGCGCTCGCGCGCCCACCGCCCAATCGGCGCCTTCCTCGCACAAAGCGAGACCCGCCCCCAGGACGCCGCCGCCGAATCCCCTCCCCCTCCCCAGTCCTCGACCCGCCCACTCCCGCCTAGGCCCCGCCCCGCGCCGTTCTCGGGCAGAGGCTCGCGATTGGTTCACGGGGTGGACGCGAACCATGATTGGCCCAGGGGGGTCACGAGGGCGCCGTCGTCGCCTTTCCAGGGGCGATTACTGGGCAGGCTCAGTCTTTCGACTCAGTCTCGAGCCCTAGCTGGCAGCCAGCGTACGCGCTCCGGGATCTCGAGCCAGCGGCCGCCATCGCCGTCGCTTGGCTTCCTCTTGGGCTCATCTGCGCCACTCGCCCGCCGCACACTCCGCCCGTCTAGGCCGCCATCATGGTGAAGCTCGCAAAGGTGAGGGGCCCTGCGGCGCGGGCGCGGGGCCGAGGCCTGCTTCCCGAGGAGCGCGCGCGCGGCGCCGCGAGGAGGAGGGCCTGCGCGCCGTCCCGGGCGCGTTCGAGGGCGCCATGCTGTGGGAAGTCTCGCGCGACCAGCGCGGAGCTCTCGCGGCTCTTGGCGGCGGGGCGGCGCGGGGCAGCGCCTCGGGCAGGTGCCGCGGCGCGCGGGGCGCCGCGGCGGGCCGAGGCGGCCGGGCGGGCCGAGCGCGGGCGGGGGGCGCGGGGCCGGCGCCCGCGGCCGGCGCGAGGGGGCCCCGCCTCCCGACGCACGTGCCCCGGCCCGCCACGTGGGCCGCGCCGAGCGGGCCGGCCGCCGGGGAGGGCGCGGGCCCCGCGGGCGGCGGCGGCGGGGTCGCTCCCGCGGCGGCGGGCGCGGACACGTGGTGGGCTCCGGAAGGGGCGGCCTGGCCGCGTGCTCCGCGCCCGGCGGCGCGCACATGGTGCCCGGGAGGTGCCCCCACGTGGCCCGCCAGGCCCGGGGGCGGGGTTTCCCGGGGAAAGTGCTGCGGGCCTGAGACGTGATCTCCTGAGACAGTGGCTCTAAAGCTGCCCTCCCCGTGGGGTAAGTGCTCGAATTCACCCGAGACGAGGGCCGGGGGCTCCTATTAAAAATGTTCGTTGTAGACCGTGCGTGTTGAGTTGTGCTGTGCTGGGTTCTGGAAGGACAGATTCTTCAGCACGGCGAGCTTAACGGAGACGACAGAAAACGGGAGATAATTTTCTTGAAGTTGACTTTAACCCCGGGGTTAACTGGCACCTGGTTTTTACTGTTGGGGGTAAGGATGTTAAAGCGCACGGGTGCGGACCCGCAGTCAGGAGACCCATAGCGGGAGTTGTCCGGTAACGTTATGGAAAATGCGTTTTAAGAGAGAGGACTGCAGTGGACAGACAGCAAGCCCTGAGCAGTCTGAAGTGTTGGAGATGTAATGTGCTAATTATGTCTTTTAGGCTGGTAAAAATCAAGGTGACCCCAAGAAAATGGCGCCTCCCCCAAAGGAGGTGGAAGAAGATAGTGAAGATGAGGAAATGTCAGAAGATGAAGATGATGACAGCAGTGGAGAAGAGGTAATTATTACAACCTACTGTGTCAAGTAAGATGGAGCATTAAAACAGATGCAGTGGGATATGGGATGTCTGAAAACTGGGAAAACTTAGGTGAAGTTCATTTTCTATATAATCTTTGGGAATGGTAGAGCTATACAAGTTCTTTGACATGTGAGGGTATCATAGGGTAAGTATTTGACTTTGAGGGGGTCTGGAGTCTCCTTTCTGTATGTCCTCTGCCAGTCTTGATGGTGATAACATTGCTTAAAATCATTTTTCCATTTTCAACATGTTAGTGTCCTCCCACACTAGGTAGCAGCCGCCACGGTTTGTGTCACTGAGCATAGTTGAGTCTGAGGTCAGCCTTAACCAGGTAACTTCATAGCCTCAGAGCAGGGCTCATTCCATCACAGGGGTTTTATAACCTTGTCACTTAACTGGATTGAGGGTTGCCACTTTTAACATTGATCCTGTTTAATAGTCTGTTTTTAGACAGCTAATTACTATATTTGTGCTCAGATTTTTGTTGAGAATTTAAGATTTTTCTCCAATAGTACTTGACAAAACTAATACTATACAAAAATTGAACCAGGATGTGAATGATTTAAGTGTAAATATGTGATAGTTTTTATCCATCTGAGCGTCACCACTTGGATTTGTGCTAATATTAATATTGCTGGGATTGACCAGCCTATTTGATACTTTTTTCTCTGATCTAAGAATGAGGTTTCAGTCAGCTTTTTACACAGTTGTGGAAAATGTAAAGTTTAAAGCTTTACACATACAAGGTTTTTAATTCTAGATCTTATAAGAGTGACATGTAAACTTGGTGCTGATACCATTTTCAGGTGATAAAGATGGGTGTCTCTTGGGTGGGGTGGAGATACTACTGCTTCAGAGCTAAACCAGCTATAAGGAATAGGGTAGAGGAATTCAGGGCTCTGGGTCAGATAACTTAGGCATTAAACAGCATTCTTATGCTTGGGAATTCTACTTGATTATTTGAAGATGAGGATAGTAGCTTCCTGGCAATATAGAAGGACATGTGACATGATGTCATGGTGCTACCTTGTACTAAGTACACCTGATGGTCAGCCACAGGCAGTGTTAAAATTCATGGGACAAGACTTTTGGGTTTGGAAGCAGGCTTAATGTATTTCATCTGTTTTCAAGGTGGTTATCCCTCAGAAAAAGGGCAAGAAGGCCACCCCAACTCCAGCAAAGAAGGTGATGGTTTCCCCAGTAAAAAAGGGTGTGGTTGCCACACCAGCTAAGAAAGCAGCTGTTACCCCTGGCAAAAAGGCAATGGCCACACCAGCCAAGAAGACGGTTACACCAGCCAAAGCAGTGGCAACACCCGGCAAGAAGGGAACCACACCAGGCAAGGCACTGGTGGCCACCTCTGGCAAGAAGGGGGCAGTTACCCCAGCCAAGGGAGCGAAGAATGGCAAGAATGCCAAGAAGGAAGATAGTGAGGAGGAGGAAGAGGATGATAGTGAGGAGGATGATGAAGACGATGAGGATGAAGATGAGGACGAATTTGAGCCGACTGTGGTCAAAGCAGCAGCTGCTGCAGCCTCGGACGATGAGGAGGAGGACGACGACGATGACGATGAGGAGGACGATGATGACGAGGATGATGACGAGGAGGAGGGTGAGGCACTTCTGGGGGTCCTGGGCTCCATCTTGTAAGCCAAGAGGGGTGAGCTTGTGAGAGCATTCTGCGTACTCGTTGCACGACAGCATGGGGGAGGTAGAGATCCTTGGAAGGGGGTTTCTGTACATTCTAGGAGTATTTCTCACATTGTTGGGTTCTGCTTCCAAGTAATCTCTTAGTGTGGCCATCACCGCTGTGCAGTGACGTTGATGGGTTTTCATTCCTTTCGATGTCCCTAAGGTAAAGTTGGCTTTGGAGAATTCTCTTGGGGTTTGACTAGGTGTCTTCTTTCAGATTCTGAAGAAGAAGCTATGGAGACTGCCCCAGTCAAAGGAAAGAAAGCTCCCGCAAAAGTTGTTCCTGTGAAGGCTAAGGCCGTGGCTGAGGAGGAGGACGAGGACGACGATGAGGACGAGGATGAGGATGAAGATGACGAGGAGGAGGATGATGACGAAGAGGAGGAGGAAGAGGAGGAGGAAGAAGGTAATCGCGTTCATTTCTCAGAAACCATTTCCTGGAGTTGTGTTTTAAGGGGCGCTTGACTGTGGCTACTTGTGGGTGACTTGAGTTGCTTGACATTTAGAACCTGTCAAAGAAGTACCTGGAAAACGGAAGAAGGAAATGGCCAAACAGAAAGCAGCTCCTGAAGCCAAGAAGCAAAAGGTGGAAGGTAACTTGGGGAGCAGAGGTGGGGGTGACACCAGATGGCACAAGTGATGGACAAACCAAAGGGACTTAATGCTGAACGCACCCTGATGTTACCTAGGTGGCTGATGTGCTGCTGTGTATAGACGTTTTTTGCCAAAAGTTGTTTGTGCCATATCAGACTAATTTGAGTTTTTTTTTTTTTTTTTTTTCCAAATATAGCCACAGAACCAACTACATCTTTCAATCTCTTTGTTGGAAACCTCAACTTCAGCAAATCTGCTCCTGAATTAAAAACCGGTCTCAGTGACCTTTTTGCTAAAAATGATCTTGCTGTTGTGGATGTCAGGATTGGCGTGTCTAGGTAGGTATGGGGGAGTTAGTGAAAATTACCTGTGCACGTCATTTCTGGATCATCTAATGACATTCCCTCTCATTTCTAAACCATAGCTCACTATCCTTAAATGTGAACGTGAAAAAGTTATCAAACTGAAAAATCCCCAAATTATAATTTCAGTCTTTTACTTATTATGTTTCAAAATCTTAATGTCGGAGAGTTGACACTTACTTTAGAAATTAATAAGACTATAATAGTGAATGCTTTTAGCCAGATGGGGTCCTCCTGTCTTGAAAGAGCATTTTTATTTTTGGTCAGTTGGTTAACAAGCCGTGTAGGTGATCGAGAAGACAGGTGAACTTGGCATAAGGTTTTGGTACTTAGACCTTGCTGTGCAGCTGCTTACAGCACCCTCACTAGTAAACTGTAGGTGCTTTTTTAGTCCCCGTTTACCACATTAATGTTGCGAGATGCCCAGAACACATGTGCCTCGGGTTTTTTCACCTGTAATGTCTTTTGCCTTATTACCTTAAAGGAAGTTTGGTTATGTGGATTTTGAATCTGCTGAAGACCTGGAAAAGGCATTGGAACTCACTGGTTTAAAAGTCTTTGGCAATGAAATCAAACTAGAAAAACCAAAGGGAAAAGACAGTAAGAAAGGTACGTAAGGCTTTCGCTAGTGACGTTATTGAAGACTTGTCAATACATGTGTGGCTGGTCGATTGTACTTTAGGAACCTAGTCTGTCAGGGCAAGTAGTTTGATCACCTTTTCCCCTTGTTTTCTGCATAATGTTTTAACAGTTACGTATGTTGTTAAGAGTCTTAAGACTTTAAGGTTGTTTATGAATGTGGTACTATTTGGTGTTAAATTATCAGTGTGCTTAAACATAGAGGGGTCTTGCTTGAACTAGTTTATAGTTTAGATCCCTTTTTTTTTTTTTTTTTTTAAGATTTATTTATTTATACAAGCACTGGGTATACAGTCAGGAGCACAGAAGGGTGAGAGAATTCACCAGAGCCAGAGAGGGGGGAGCAGAACAGGTAGAAGGACCAAAGTACACTGCTGAGGGGAGCAGTGGGCGCGACAGGAGAGGTCTGCACGCCATGTGGGACCCTCGCCGCTGATCAAACCAGCACTGCAGAGGCTGCGGCAGCTTCGCAGCCCAGCGTGCAACCGCTGCGCCATTGGGGAGGCCCATAGATCCCTAATCTTTTTATATTCATAACCTTTTCTCTCCGTGCTTTAAATGTTTCAAAATGTGTGCAATTATTTTAAATTGAAAAATACGAGTACTCTGCTCAGAGTTCTGTGAGTATCCAGCACCTAGTTTGGTGTCAGTCGTGACAGTGACTTGTGTTGTGTCACTGTATCTCCGTACTAACTGGATGCTGTGTGCATTGGAGAGTCTGAAGATGTTTCTTGAATGGAACTCTTAATATTTTGCTCTTCAGGCAGGGGTCTTTTAAACTGTACAGTTCACCTTTGTTTCTTTCCTAGATCGAGACGCAAGAACACTTTTGGCTAAAAATCTGCCTTACAAAGTTACTCAGGATGAATTAAAAGAAGTATTTGAAGATGCTATGGAGATCAGATTAGTCAGCAAGGATGGGAAAAGTAAAGGGTATGTTAGTGTCACTAAAATGTGCTTCTCTGCTTTGTAATAGAAAGATTGATCCAGTTTCCTAGCTGTGTGGATTTGGGCATATGCTTCGATTTCCCATTTGTACAGTGGGGATAGCATACTTCTAGTTCATTGAGTTAAAATTTACACAGATGAGCTCATATATAAAGCATTGCAAAATGCTTACTTTCTAGTAGATGCTTTGTTAGTCACATCTGCTAGAACAAGGTGTTTTACCCCATGAGTAAATTTTCTAGGAGTGTTTAGCAAACAGTACGAGGTAAGTTTTAATTGAAAATTCAGTACGTTTCAATTAGTGTAAAGCAAAGCACATTTTTGTATCTATCAGATTATCATGTTTTGAAAATGAAATATTTGTGTTGAATACTTAATATGGTCTTAAAAGTCTTCTGAGTTCTAAAGTTTTTTCCTCTTGCAGGATTGCTTATATTGAATTTAAGACAGAAGCTGACGCAGAGAAAACCTTGGAAGAAAAGCAGGGAACAGAGATAGATGGACGATCCATTTCTCTTTACTATACGGGAGAGAAAGGTCAAAATCAAGACCATAGAGGTGGAAAGAATAGCACTTGGAGTGGTAAGAATCAAGGAACACCTGTAGTTCTCCAGGATTGGTGGAAGAGGGATTTCTTTGCATTAGATTGTTGACTGTAGATGTTACTACTGTTTGTAGTAGTGTAATTCAGGGCTTTCGATGAAAGCATTTGCATTAGAACGTAAAAACGGGTTTAGCTGTTTTGATGAGGAGGTTTTATGCTTTAAATGACTTAGACTTTTTAATTTTTAAAACTTCTAGGACGACATAGGCTAGTAGTCACCTTAAACATTGAACAGTGGCATGGGAGAAAGTAGAGCGTGGCAGTCAGTTTCCATCTTAACATCTTGGCATCTCTTTCTTTGTAGGTGAATCAAAAACACTGGTTTTAAGCAACCTTTCCTACAGTGCAACAGAAGAAACTCTTCAGGAAGTATTTGAGAAGGCAACTTTTATCAAAGTGCCCCAGAATCAAAATGGCAAATCTAAAGGGTAATTAGTGTCTTTCTTACTGTTTGGGGGCTATATGTGTCTTGCCTGTATTTTTAAAAAGGTTCAGGCTACACACATCAATGTCTAGCTGCACACATCAGTGCAAAGAGAAGAGCTGGAATATCTGTTGGCGTCAGGCAGTAGAGTTCTGTGCTTGGTAACTTTACATGTTAACTTTTCATCCTCAGGTATGCATTTATAGAATTTGCTTCATTTGAAGATGCTAAGGAAGCTTTAAATTCCTGTAATAAAAGGGAAATTGAGGGCCGAGCCATCAGACTGGAGTTGCAAGGGCCCAGAGGATCGCCCAATGCAAGAAGCCGTAAGTTACTTGAATTAACAGGGTATTGTTTGGGGGTTAGCTGTCCTCCATGCTGCTCTTGAACTTCTTCAGGGCTATAGAGATAACTTAATGTTGCTGCTGAGTGACCAATAACTGGATATGATGATTGATTATCTGAGAAACAATTGATGAAATCTTAAGAAAATTCCTCTAGATAGTCAAGTTCTGATCCAGCTGTGTCAACTCTGAGCAATAGTTTGCCCGTGTTGTACCACCATGTGTGGTGGGGGTAGCTGCCTGGTTGAGTCTCAGGTATTTAAGTTGCTTCCAGGTACAGCTCTGAGAAGTGCTCTTGGCAGTCAGTTAACTGAGTTGCTTTCAGTAGTGGGATACTTCAGCCTGTGCAAATTTAGCATGGGTCTTTTTTTTTTTTTTTTTAAGATTTTTAAAAAATTTATGCATACAAGAACTGTGGTGCAGGCCAAAGGTGTTGTGGGGAGGTGAGAGGATTCACCAGAGACAGAGTGGGGAGCAGAACAGGCAGATATACTGAAATACACTGCTGGGGGGGGCAGTGGGGAGACAGGAGAGGTCTGCTGCACCATGTGGGTCAAGCTCCCTGGCTGGGGATTGAACTTGTGCTGCAGTGGCTGCAGATAGCTTGATAGTGCTGAGATTCCCTGTGCCACCAGGGAGGCTCAAGATTGTTCATTTAAAACCTTTTTTAAAGCATTTAAAGATAAATTTCCAGGGCCTCCCCTGGTGGCGCAGCGGTTGAGCGCTGGGCTGTCAAGCTGCCCACCACTTCAGCACAGTTCAATCCCTGTCCACTGGCTAGGGTCCCACATGGCGCGCAGACCTCTCCTGCTGCTCCCCTCAGCAGTGTATTTCGTCACTGCCTGTTCTGCTCCCACTTCTGGCTCTGGTGAATTCTCTCACCCTCCCACGCTTCTGGCTGTACCCAGTGCTTGTATAAATAAATAAATAAGTCTTTTTTAAAAATAAATAAAGATAAATTTCCATTAAACACTGCATTAACCATATCCCAAACGTATTTCACTATGATTCGAATTATGTTATTTCTTTTGTTTTCTAGTTTGGCCAGTTCAGAAGTGTTTTTCAGAAGTATTCAATATCCAAATATTTAGGGATTTTCTTAGATATCTTATTTTTGTTTTCTAATATATTTATTATGTCAAAGACTATACTGCTATAGTGTAGGCCCCATTATGAATGCTTTACATACAGTGTGATTTCTGTCTATTCCAGAGCCATCCAAAACCTTGTTCGTCAAAGGGCTGTCTGAGGAGACCACAGAGGAGACACTGAAGGAATCATTTGATGGCTCTGTCCGGGCGCGGATAGTCACTGACCGCGAGACCGGGTCCTCCAAAGGGTAAGATGTAGGGGTGGACAGCACCCCAAGTGCGCCCTTCCTCCTGACATCTTCTCGTGAGCTCCTTTCTGTCCATCAGTGACAGTTTATGGATTCGCAAGAGAAGAAGAGCCAATTCACAGCACTAGCACTGTTATGCCTCTGTCTTCACAGAGGTAGACTCTGCTGTCCTGTGGGACAGGCATTACAGCTACCAGTAAGGCCGGTCTGTCTCTTCTACGGGGACTGTCTTTTGGTCTTTTCTCAGCTAAGTGGGGCTGCACAGGCCAACATAGGAGGCTGATGCTTGTTTTCTGTCTGTAAATGGGTCATCTCCTTTGGTCTTTCAGGTTTGGTTTTGTAGATTTCAACAGTGAGGAAGATGCCAAAGCTGCCAAGGAGGCCATGGAAGATGGTGAAATTGATGGAAACAAAGTCACTTTGGACTGGGCCAAACCTAAAGGCGAAGGCGGCTTTGGGGGTCGAGGTGGAGGCAGAGGTGGCTTTGGAGGCAGAGGTGGAGGCAGAGGAGGCCGAGGCGGTGGATTTGGTGGCCGAGGTCGGGGAGGCTTTGGAGGTAAGGCGAGAATGGGGGGCTGCCTGGGTGTCCACACTGGACCCCACCCGGCACAGACACTGCAGCACCTGTGCAGGGGAGGGGGGGCTCGGGGCAGCTTTGCGACGGTCACTCACCTGTGCTGTCTCGCCTTCTGCAGGCCGGGGAGGCTTCCGAGGAGGTAGAGGCGGAGGTGGAGACCACAAGCCACAAGGAAAGAAGACGAAGTTCGAATAGTTTCTTCTGTCCCTCTCTGTCCCCCTTCCGTTTGAAAGAAAGGACTCTGGGGTTTTCACTCTGTTACCTGATCAATGACAGAGCCTTCTGAGGACATTCCAAGACAGTGTGCGGTCCCGTGGTCTACTTGGAAATCCGTAGAGATAACATTTCAAGGGAGATACCCTGTTGGTTTTGACTGGATGTTCATATAAACTTTTTAAAGAGATGAGCGATAGCGCTAACCCTTATCTGTAAGTTTTGAATTTATATTGTTCCTTCCCATGTACAAAACCATTTTTTTCCTACAAATAGGTGTTTTTTGTTTTGTGGTTTTTTTTTGCGTTGGGGGGTGTAAAGGAAAGCAGAATGTTTTATGATTTTTGCTTCAGCAACTTTGGGACAAATTAAAAGTCCTAAACTCTGGTGCCAGACTGGTACTTCCTAGAGTGTTTCTCCTGGGATGTGGTTGAAGGTGGGGATGTGGCAAAGCAGCAATGGCTCTCCAGTCCTCCCCTTCTCGCCCCCTCCCCCCCCCCCATGAAGGCTGTGGTGACCCACTTCTTGCCTGGGTGCTGTGACACTAGGCTTGTTGGAAGTGGCCCATGTGCGGCAGGCGGAGGGGCTCACTGCTCGGGTCTCAAAGACCAGCAGCTGGAGGACGTAGGTCTGGTTTGGCCACGACTCGGAATACACGCTGGATGAGTAGACCAAGGGAACTTGGGGACGGAGGCTGGGCTGAAAACTTCCATTCTAGCAGGTGAACTCTTGGGTATTTCTTTTGAGTCCATGCTTCTAGTGACACCAACAAAAGGTCTAATTTTTCAGGAGGACACTGTTAAGAGAGCAAAACTCAACCCAAAATACCTTGATCTAGACCTCTCATGACCTATAGCCCTTATCAGAAAAGGTGGGGGTGTTGGAGTGTGTAATCATGAAATAAAATAGGAAGGTGGCAACCATGGAGGGTAGAGATGGTGGATAGTTTTCCCCACTAGTTTCACAGATGGGTAAGTCAGCAAGACTAGGACTTGGCACTTAACAAGCGCTAAGTGGGCCGCATGTCCTGAAGGTTGGGTGCTGCTGAGAAAAACCCAGACAGGCAGATGGAGAAAGAGTTCAGATCATTTGGTGCCAGTGGAGGGCATCTGGCCCAAGTGGGTAGTCAGGATTGGGCGCAGTACCTCAGTGCCAGGTCAGTCTCCTGAGGTGAACTCGAAACCTGGGAGGGTTGGTTTCTCAGGGACCCATCTCAGAACCTTCGGCCAAGTGGGTACCTTCCCTGGCCAACCTCTGCTAGACTTTGGGGGAGGCCCTCTGAGTGCCAGCAGACCTGGAACGCAGCAAGGCACTGGCCCTCTACTAACAATATGGGGGTGCTGCTAACCTTGCGCAGCCCATGCCTCAAGCTTGTGTGGACCCCCTTGCTGGGGGGAGTTGGGAGGCTCAGGCCTATTGGCTCATAGCCTGGGTCCACTCTTGTGAGAGATACAAGTGCTCCCAAACTGCCGCCAGGTGCTCTGAGGTACGTGCGCTGCTGGTCTGCCCACAGTCTGGATATTTCCCTCCACCCCGGTGAACCTGTGGGGGAAAGGCAAGGCCAGAAGCGGAGGGGTCTGTGCTCCTGTCCCTGCTGGAGGCGCTAACTGCAGCCCTGCTAATGCCAGCCTCACTGGATAAACGCGGGGTCAGGGCGGAGCTGGGGCTTGCCTTTTGGGACCAGAGTCTTGCACACGCCTCAACTGGGTGCCTTCCTGGTGCCAGTGGCTGGTTTGGGTTGAGGGAGGTTTTTGCAGCCATTTTAGGAAAGTTGATTTCCCTTCAGCAAATGGTTGTCACCACTTTTGTCCTTTTTCCAGCAGGTGGCAGCACACCCACGGGATGTGGCGCTTGGGATGGGTGGCATCCAGGGAGACCTAGATTGGTTTTAAGCAAAGTCACCCTCAGATTAAGTGACAAGTCCTGGGAGCCCACTAGACGCGTGTGTTGCTGTGGGGCCCCCAGGGAAGAGGATTCTAACCGGGTCTACCTAAAATGGAGTGCTTATCCTGTGCCCCCTTGGGCATCGCCCCATTCTGGAATCTCAGTCTGTTCCCCGCACCGCCCCCCACCACGGACATAATGTCCCCTCACACACCCCTGGCCCCTGCCTCCTCCCACTCCTTTTGAACCTTGCTTTGTGGCTTTTGTCCCCTCACTCCTGTGGGCCTAATGGCAAGTCCCCTGGCTAGTTCCTCAGGTTACTTCCCTGCAGCATCGACACCACCTCCTCCCTGCTGAGAGTCCTGCGGAGGCCTGGGCAGACACTGCAGACGCAGCTCTGCCACCAGGGTGAGTGGGGCAGAAGGAGAACAACCCTGGGGTTAGCCCGTCAGCAGACAACTTCCATTGTAGATGTGGGCTGTGGGCCAGGGGGCCCAGAAGTGGCTCAAAGTCCTGGGCGTGTGCAGGGCCTTGGTGCTGCGGTCTAGGAGTGTACCTGATGGTACCCCTTGGGGAAACTACCCCCAACCTCAGGGTGCGCACAGTGGTGGTGGTAGGGGGTGTGTAGGTCAGGAGTTCTTGTGCTCTTTATTTTTTATTTTTTTTGTTAAATTATTTTTTAAAGGTTTCTTTAGGCATAAAAGAGCTGGGGTACAGGCCAGAGGTGTGGGGGGATGAGAGGATTCACCAGAGACAGAGTGGGGAGCAGAACAGGGAGGCTGACTGAAATACACTGCTGAGGGGAGCAGCGGGCGGCAGGAGAGGTTTGTGCATCATATGGGACCCTCGCCAGCGGCCGGGGATTGAACTGGTGTTGCAAGAGGCTGCGAGCAGCTTCGCAGCCCAGCACTCAACCACTGTGCCACCGGGGAGGCCCAGACTCATCTATTAAAATTTTTTTTTTCAGGATCATTTTTGAAAAAGAAGGGAAATGAATTACATTAAAGTTACTAAAATATTTGAGCACTTTTATGATAGAATTATATTTGTGTTCCATTAATTAGGTACAAATTACATTTAAAATACAGTTAAGTTAGGAAACTTGGTTCTGGTATTGATGAGGTGGCTTATTGCTTATCCTCCTGTTGATAGCAACTATAAACTGGACAAAGTATTAAAAGTCAATTTTCGGGCCTCCCTGGTGGCGCGAGGGGTTAAGCATTGCACTGTGAAGCAATCTGCAGCCTCTGCAGCACAAAGTCGATCCCGGGCCAGCCAGGGAGCAACCCGCATGGCGCAGCAGACCTCTCCTGCCTTGCCCAAGGCCCCACCCCACCCCCGCCGACCCCCACCGCTGGCCTGTATCCCAGCTCTTGTATGTATAAATAAATATTTAAAAAAGAAAAGGGTGGGGCCTCCCCTGGTGGCGCAGCGGTTGAGCGCTGGGTTGCGAAGCTGTCCGCAGCCTCTGCAGCACCGGTTCAATCCCCGGCTGCCGGGCGCTGCTCTCCTGCCGCCCGCTGCTCTCCTCAGCAGTGTGTTTCATCACTGCCTGCTCTGCTCCCCGCTCTGGCTCTGGTGAATTCTCTCACCCTCCCGCGCTTCTGACTGTACCCAGTGCTTGTGTAAATAAATCTTAAAAAAAAAAAGAAAAAAGAAAAGGGAGCGAGACATCCTTGAAAGAAGGCAAGGACTGGGTGAAGGGACAGTTCAACCAGGTCCCCAGGCCACCCGCTGACTGCTCAGGCTTCCAGAGCCAGCAGACTCAGGGTTTGAAGGCACTGAGGAGTCAGATTGGAGTTTGTGTTAGAACTTCCATGAAAGGAGGGTGATGTAGGAGAAAGCCATTTGCATACAAATTAAAATTCTTAACTGATCCCTAACTTGTGTGCTCAGCACAAGATCTCCTGAGCCCAGGGGAGAGCAGCGGGAAGGTTAAAGACGCCTGCAGCTGCCAGGTGCTGCAGAGGCAGAAGTGCAGTCCAGTTACAGGAGTTGATAAACACTTGAAGCTTTTCTGTGACAGAAGGACCAAATTTTATATTAGAGATTTATTTTATTTATGCATACAAAAATGGGTGCAGCCAGAGGCGGGGGATGGTGGTGAGAGAACTCACCAGAGACGGTGGGGAGCAGAGGGGGTGGATCCACTGAAATACGCTGCTGAGGGGAGCCGCGGGGAGACAGCAGAGGTCTGCTGCGCCCTGTGGGTAACTCCCTGGCCGGGGATCGAACTCCTGCTACAACGACAGCGCACAGCTTCAAAGTGCTGAGACGTAACCCCTGCGCCACCCCCTTCACTGCGGGGGAGGCCCCTCCGCTGTGGTTTTCAACCGCCTCCTGCCTGAACACACTCGCCGCTTGCCCTTTTGTGAAGCTAGCCGTTGGGCCCAGGTCTGTCGGATTTGGGGTGCTCCTGGCGATCTGTTCCTGGACGCAGGTCTGGGGGTATGTTGTCTGAGAGCGCCAGGCTGTCACCCCGGCCCGGGGCACCGCCATGACTGAACGT